CATTAGAGTCCTGAAAAGCTGAGGTCAAATATTTTCCTGCAAACCAAGGGAGGGCTGCGCCTGTTAACTCCTCAGGATCATGTCCCGGAGTGAAAACCCTTGGAGTTAATCCCCAGGGCGCTTTCTGGGTGCCGGGCAGATCCCTCAGAAGTGGGATGGGGAATGGTCCCAGGTGTAAGCAGCATGAATCCGCTAATGGAAAATAGTGTCATTTAATTCCTTGGGCTGGAATCGCACCAGAAGAATCTGGCATCAGCACTGGGTTTGCAGTGCACAATGTAGAGCCCTGGGCACCAGGTCGCAAACCCAGCACATGGCCTTTAAACGCCAGAGACTCTGGCATGTGCATCTGCCCTAGGGACCCCTCCCAGGACCCAAGTATGCTCACTCACCAGCAGGGGGGACAGCACGGTGTATGTGTCCTGGCTCACCAAGGGAATCCTGCTCACTTGGGTGACAGCTTCACCCACCAGCGCGAGGCTTCTCAGAAAAGCAGATCTCACCAGTGGGTCCTGGGCTCACAGGCAGGAGGGGGAGAGAACAATGAGGAAACAGCCACAGGCAATAGAGAGCTGAGACACAAGGCTACAGAGCGAGTCTCTACAAGGGAGCTGCTGTCCTAGGCGGGATTGCCCTCACGCCCTAAGGGAAAGGACCTGGTTTGCCGAGTGGAACATCTTTGCATTCCCTAGGGCTGTGGGTCTCCAACTATTTTTACTGATGACCCCTTTCACACAGCAAGCCTCTGGGTGTGACCCCCCTAATAAATTAAACACCCTCTCTAATATATTTAACACCATTATAAGTGCTGGAGGCAAGCGGGGTTTGGGGTGGAGGTTGACAACTCGCAACACCCCATGTAATGACCTCGTGACCCCCGGAGGGGTCCCGACCCCCAGTTTGAGAACCCCTGGCCTAGGGGAATATCTCTGGAGATGAATGCAAGGAATGGACTGATTCCCAGAGGTGCTGAGCACTTGCAGTTCCCAGAGCTGTCAGTGGGCCCTGGGGCTGCTCAGCTCCCCTGACAATCAGGTCGTAATTGTCTGATCTGGGACAGGAATCTGCTGCTCTCTGCAGTTGGCTGGGCTCTCCCTACCAAGGCATCCATTCTCCAAGGAGAACATTCAGTTAAACCAAAGTAGCATCCCCTCTCCTTTTCGCTGGGACGCGCATATGGGCATCGTAACCAGTGTAGGACTGAACGTCGGCCTCAAACCTCCGATGGCAAGAAAACAAACTAGAGTTATCTCAAAAATCCCCCTTCAGCACCAGAGCCTGTCAACCGGGCTAGGGGCCTGAATCCCTCAGTGCGCCTTTTGTGCCCAGCTACACCATCGACTGCAGTGTGTGGGGAAACGGGCCCTAAATCTTTATCTTCTGATCCCTGAGTGCAGCACAAGCCTAGAGGTACCAAACAGGGTACAGTCGTCTCTGGGACAATAGCACCAAGTGATGCTCAGTTACACTCTAACAAGGCCCAGATGGGAGTCCTTCCCTTAGCTTCCATGGGCCTGGAATCAGAGAAGCTAATTGAGATGGGGCAGTCACAGAGAGTGGTGCTGTTCCCATGTCTCCTGTCCCTCCTGGGGCAAAGGGCCAGCCCTCTGAGCTGAGTTTATGCAAAGACATAGCTCTGTGCTGCTGTGCACAGCCCGGGTAGGTGCTGTGTGGGCGGTCAGGGGAGGGCTCTGACTTACGTGTGGGCTCAGAAAATAGTGGTGTCGCATGGGAGCCAGGATATTGAAGCCTATGGTCTCTAGGATGAGATCCGTGGGGCGTGAGTGGACCACGTGCCCATAGGTGAGGAGCAGGAGGCTTCTCAGCTGCTCGATGGAAGCTGGCTCCTGAGAATTGCAAAGGAAAGAGTGAGGAGAAGGGATGGCCTCCAGCTGCTCCTAACTTACAACTAGGGCCAGGGGAGGATTTTTCATCCAGCCGGCTTAGCCACCAAAGGCGACTCTGCTGAGCTGAATTGCCTGGACTCCGAGGCCCTTCCCAGCTCCCCAGGATTGGGTGGTTGAGGTGACCCGGCAGCCGAAGGGGACGCACTAGCAGCTGCTTTAATTCAGCCTAGCTCCAGAGATGTCACTGGGACTACAGTGGATTGCACTGGCCCAGAGAGTTACTGGGAAGGTGGTGGTGGTGGTGCGGGGAGAGGGGGGACGCAGGTTAATGTCAGACATGCCAGCCCTGGTGAGTCTGCCAGGAAGGTCTGTGAAATAGCCCAGTTCAGGGGAAGATCAAGGGTCTGTTCTGCTGAGAAATGTGTCAGCTGGAGCTGATGGCATGGCAGTGTCTTTTGGGCCCTCTCTGAGCCTTGTTTATGGGGCTGCGTGGAGCATGTCTGAGCTCCCCAGGAGATACCCTGGAGAGCTTAGACAACAGGACCCACCTTCCCCCCTGGATCCACCCCATTGTGCTGAGATTGCAACTCCACAGAGGAGTAAGGAAAGGGCTCCCTCCTCGGAGGCTGAGCCACTGCTTGGAAATTCAGCTCTTCGCTGAACAGGCTTCTGGGAAGCAGGGTCCTCCCTGGCAGGTCCCTTTACCTGCAAAGGCTGGTGAAGGGATCGATGAAAGAGCAGAGATGCTAGGTGGGACCGTACCTCCAGAGAGCCACCGGCAGAAGGCTGGAGCTGCACCCTGCTGACAAACTCTTCCCAGTGCTCCAGGATGGCGAAAACCTCATATAGCTGTTGCCTGGCACACAGCCCAAGCGCTCGGGCGAATCCCTGAGAGACAGAAAGATGGAGGTTGGGAATGCTGAGCAACAAGCCAAGGGGCCAGGATGGGCTCTCCAAGTCATTGCCATGGGCATGGGTATAAGGAAGATCTTTTCAATCCACTGGACGTTGTCCAAGGCAGAACATACACATGTAGCATCAGGGGATTGACAAAGAATGAGGGATCACTTGACAGTGGAGGAGCAAAGACCTCACCTCTCTTTCCTCTTCTTCTCGGAAATCGACCATCTCCACCAGAAGCCATAGCTGGGGCTTGATGCTCTCTGCTGGAAAAAACATCAGCACGGTGCCCCAGCACTTGTAGAGAAAGCTCTGCGAAAGAGACACCATCATGCTGGATGCATTGGGCACAGCCTGGCATGCACAGAGCCCACTGGGTATAGCTGTCTGCTTCACTGACCCCAAGCTGCCCCTGGTTAGCGACTGCTGTTCTGAACTAGGCACTGAACCCCAATTCCTTCCAGGACACTGACCTTGTCACTGGGCCGCTTATCACCGTAGGCCAGCTGGCGCCTGATACTAGTGATGAAACAGCCCAGCCAGGTGTGGTCCGAGATGAAGAAGAGAAGGTCTTCCAGGAACTGCCAGGGAAAGAAGAGCCAGTTAGAACCAAGAGGGGCCAAGAAACTGGTCCTCTCAATAGCTCCAGCCAGGAACCCACGACAGCTGGGAGGGGAGGGGAAGAGGGAGCGTGCACTGTCACCCCCCACGTCTCTCCTAATGCTTCTGAATCCTTGTGAGCTGCCCCTGGTGCTTCTCCAATTGCATCTGCTGGACTCAGCCGCTTCCTCTGTCCCACAATGTAGTGCTGCTGAGGGGCCTCTTAATCCTGCCTCAGCGTGGAGGGGGCTGGACTAAATGACCTCTTGAGTTCCTTTCCAGCCCTCCATTTCTCTGACCCTTACCTGCAGCAGCTGCTGCTCCCACTCCCTCTGGCAGAAGCAGGTCTTGTGATCTGGAAGAGATGGGCAGGTCAGTTTCCTTTGTGTTTAGACCCTTCTACTGAGGAGCAGCCTTCAACTTGGCTCTTGTTTGGCAGGGGGTGGGGAGGAGCTGCCGACTCACGGGCCCCGAGGGGACCCATGGCTCTTTGAAAATTGCTGATGGACAACAATGCTCCTCAGACCCAAACCCCTTGATATGAAATACCCAGGAGTTCTGCTTGCCAAGATCCTTCCCCAGAGTTTGAGATGTCGAATGAAGGTTAGATACGATCCTGGAAAGGATCCTTCCTGTCTAGGCATGGGGGGCTGGGCTAGATGAACCAAGGGATATGATCCTGACATGATCCTCTCTGATTCCAAGGTCACAGCATCATATTATCCTGGATTCAGAGGGAGGCCCTGGCCTCTCCCTCTCTGAGCCCAGCATCACGGTGTCCCCTCCCTTTGCTCCTGCAAGGGGAGACACTCCCTCCTCACCTTCCACATAGAGGAGCATTTCCGTCTTGTAGCTATTCCAGAACTGGCCCGACCTGGCCTGGAACATGCTCATAAGCTGGAAGAGGAGGAACATGGCTGCCCTTCTGACCTGCACCGTCATAAACGAAGACGCACCGAGCACCTGGCGGACAAAGAGGCAGAGGTGGCTGTACCCCTCCCTTGCGAGGCAGTGTGAGAAGGGAGCTCCCTACAGGTGCAGGGGGAGAGCTCAGTGATGGAGGGAAGGAGACAGCAGGGAGGTGGAGCTGACAACCAGGACAGGATTGAGATGGATATTTCAGTTGATCAGGGACACTCCATGGACCAGCTATTGGCTCCTTCCATCCTCTCACTCCTGGGCTGGCTCTAGCTCAGATGAAGGGAGACAGGATTATTCAGAGGCCGTCAGGCAGCTGCTGAGTCAGATCCTTGGCCTAGGTTAGAGCAGCACAAGGGGAGCTTGAAGCAGCCCGAAAGAGGCAGCTGGGCCATAAAGGGAATCCCCAGCTGCCCCTTGGTAAGGGAGGATGCTGGAGGCCAGGGGGCAGGAGGGGGCCTGCACAACAGTCCCTAAGGGCTCATTCCAGCTGCCTTCTATTGGAGCCGTCCGAGGGCTGCACTGACTGGTGCTGGGGGACCTGGTCCAGCCCCAGGATCGGGGAGCCAGGAAGGTGGCTGGCTCAGAGAGCTCGCTGGTTCTGTTAAATGCCGAGAGGCGCTGGGTCGATGTGCAATGAACGCGAGGAATGTGACGAGCCAGCTCCTCTGGGGGCCGCAGGGAGAAGAGCCACCACACACTGCATGCCAGCTCCAGGAGCGGCCCCTTCCCACTGAGCATAAGGAACCTCCTGGCTGCGGGTTACTCACCAGCAGCCGAGCCAGCAGCTCCTGGGGTAGAGTGGACTTGGGGCTTGACCGACACCCTGTGAACAGAAATGGGGGCATCCCATCAGGCTCTGGAGGGATCTTTTGCATTCGTCTCTGAGCTCTACCTGTGCCCTTGACGGCTGGCTGTGTCCTTGCAGTGAGCCGGAACCAGAGCCAAGAGCTGATCCCCACCCTCACCTGGGGGCAGACGCCTCTCGCTACAGAAGGACTAAGAGCGGGTGGATAAAATACTGGGACTCACCTCTGTTCGCCTTGCCGCACTTCCTGGCCAAGGGCAGCCTGCCTTCCTCCTGCATCCTCTTTACCACCTCGACCGAGGTCTGCAGGAGGAGAGGCAGGGCTGGCCCATGGGCTGCTGGGCTCAGTTGAAGGAGCAGCCCAGGCCATAAAACCTGCAGAGCAGAGAAAAGCCATCTCAGTACGGAAATATCCTCTTCCTGCACCAGCTCTCTCTTTCCTACACTAGACAGGACCCCTGGCCTCGCCACCGCCAGCCAGACCTCTCTACCCAGCCTGAACCATGCAGCGATCCCCACCCCCTCCCCTTCACACCTATCAGTGTCTGCCTCCAGCACCAAATCAAGTGACACATGACTGACCCCCCGCCTTTTGTTCAGTGTAGCATCATCATTGACAGCACAGTATTTCCTAACTCCAGTCTCACTGGGAAAGGCTGTGTTCTCACGGCAGGAATGCAATACATCAGCTTGATAAATAAAGAGGAGACTAGGAAACCCAATACTATCAAGTGAAACCATGACAGGCGCTCAGGGAGGTTTGAGCTCTGACCTTCACATCCCCACACAGACCTGCGCCACTTGAAGCACAGACACAATTGCTGTCTGCTTTGTGGACAAGAGGGGGACTTAACACACACTGTGCCAGAGGTTTACACAACTCTTTGCTAGACAGTATAGAACAGTGGAGATCAGGAATCCCCGGGGGTCCATCCCCACCTGTAGTAACTAAAGCACGTATATTGGGCATGCTCAATCTGAAAGACAGTGTAGCTGAGTGCACAATACTTGGGTCTGCCTTATTAGAAATGTGGCTTCTAGTCTCAGCTCTGCCTGAAGTGACCGTGCGCAACCTCGCTGTTAATTTGTTCAGTGTGGGAAGGGGGCTGGCTAATACTTGACTGCTTAGGCTTGCGTTCTGACGCCTGGGTCAGTAATCAGGTCTGTGCAGTGTGTGGAAACATAAGCAATAGTCGGCAGAGATGAGATTTGGATGTAGTGTCTCCCAGCTCAGTGGACTCTCCCGTAGGCACCAGGGTAGTGTGGGTGAGAGGCAGGAACTCCTGGGCTAGGGTTGGCTTTTGCAAAACAAGAATGGGATGGGCTGTATAGACCCCACCCTGTAACAGCCAGGGAAAAGTTCACAGAAGGACCAATGAAGAGGGACTGAGCTATGGAAGCTGCAGAACCAGCATGACTGACCACAGGGGATACTCGAGAGGAAGAGCCCCTGTGACACCAAACGCTGGCGTGCAGGGGCACTCAGCCAGTGAGTGTTCCCTGTTCCAAAGACCCAGGTCTGGCTCGGATCCGGGGTCCATCTTACCCAACCCCATGATGTTCTGGAGTGGGGAGGCTCAGATAAATAAGTCTGGCTGGGGCCTGTCTCATCGAAAAGCTCAGACCCAGAGAGGCCTGTGTCCAATGGAGAGGGGCAGGGTCACTTACATTGGCCATTCTGGGGGAGTCAGCCAGGGACTGCAGGGTGCTGGAGCAGAGCTGGCGGACCTCGAGCTCCATGGTGCGCCTCCCGTCTGCTTCCTCCTGATGGTGAGAAGTAATGGAGACACCAGGGAGATTTAGATTCGGTGGAGACCTCCGTGGCACGGTAACTCTAGTGGGCATGGCAGGGGGTGAAAATGGGGCTTGAAGAGAAAAGGCGCAACCCTGGCTGTGACTGTGCCATAAGCAGCCCAGGGTCTGTGTGGAGCCAGTTCTAGGCTCCACCCCTCTGCCTGGTGAAAACCAGATCCATCATGGCTTAGTCTCCTAAGGTGGATGATCACAATGAGGCGAGAGAAGGAGGAAGCCAGGGGTCCTGCCCTCCCTGCGCGAGGGACAGAGCCCGGATGACAGCTGGGAGAGGGATCAGAGAGAATGGGCTGGGAGGAAAAAACACTGTCTTCTATTTGTCAGCATCTTCCATCAGTAGACGGAGGGTGCCGTCCCCAGTTCCATCTGCTTCCCAAGTCCTATTTGCTGCCCATCGCCTGCCCCTCCCCATCTGCAGCTGCCCCCCTTCCCTATCCCTTGACCCCATGTTCTGCCCTGTTCACGGACTCCCGTCACTAAGGTCTCTGCGGATTCTTACCGTGCTGTCGAGGGTCAGGGTGCACTGACGCACCAAGAAGTCAATTAAGGGTCTTGAGGCAGATTTCTCCAAGAGCCCATGCGCCCCCATTGTCCTTATAAAATAAGCAAGGGCTTCTCTGACCTGCCAGACCCAGACAGAAACAGAAATGATTTGCACACAGTGTGGAGGGACCTTGTCCCCTCCCAGTCCAGGCTGGGATCCTTTCTCAGCGGGGGGTTTGGTGAAATACTGCTAGGCAGCCCAGAGATGACAATGCAGCCGGAGCCCTGCAGGGATTCTCTCCCCCACCTTCTGCCCTACACTATGGAGCACTGATGGGTCATGTGTTTCGATGCACAGGGTCCCGGCAGGCTCTGCACTGGCAGGCAGACATTCACTAGCTTTGGCCGCTTTGGCCATGGTTCCAGACTCACCCGTATGCTTGTGCTCTGCAGGATTGGCCCCAGGGCTATGAATAGCTTCTCAGTATTGTGCGTCATTTCGGAAACTGTAAGAGACACAGACACACGGCTCGGCAGGGCTGATGTTAAACCGGGGTGTGCAGGGACCTGAGATCTCAGGAACCTTAGAGCAACCTCAATGTCCCTACATGACCCTCCTGGCAGGTTACCCCCATGGGTAACCAGCTGCATCTGCCCACGCTTGCAGTTCCAGCAGTGACTGTCCTCTCTCATTGCCGCAGCATCGGCTGAGGGGCTGCAGGACTTGGATTATCTACTGCAGACAGGTATAAATGACCCCAATGAGGCCCAGTGCTAAGCGCTGCTAATTGCACAAGAGGCCATAAGACATCAAAAGACGAGGCCTCGCTGTGGGGTCACTTACTGTTGGATCGGACTATCCGGTCCAGAATGAAGAGACTGGCACAGGTCTCCTCTTCCTCGTCCTTGTTCAGCCTCCTGAACAGGAACACAAGCAGCTCCACCAGGAACAAGCGAGCTGCAGGAAGAGGAGTGAATCAGAATGGGGTGGGTGAATCATAAAGGGGAAGGGAATATAGTTCTATGCTTGTGCTCTGAAATTCTGTAGGCTCTGGGAAATCTCCTTCTCTGGGAAAGGTGAATGGGTTTCTTACCCAGATGGACCAGAGAGTCCAGGGCCTCTCTCCGCTCCTCCAGGTGCTCTCTGGGGAGATGACACACCTAAGGGAAGAAAGCAACACCAGCAAAGGCAAACTAGATCAAGTGTCTCTCAGGCCAAGCCCTCGGATGGCAGAGTGAAGGGGTGAGGGTGGATAGGCAGATTCTAATTCCCATCTAAAGAACAGGCCAGCAAGCTGGATCAGTCTATGAATGACGCCGAGGCTTTGGGGGCCGTGGCTCATGTAGAAGCAGAGTTTGACGGGTCAGGAACCGAAGATGTGGAGCCTTGGAACAAGGTGCGGGATGCTGATGTTCCCGGTCAAAGGGGGTGGGGTGAGTGGGAGGAAAAGAAACCAAAGGAGAGTTCTCCAGGATCCATCCCCCAATGGGAACAGGATGAGGCAGGGACAGCTCTTCCCACAGCCTACCCAGTTTAAGCCAACAGGCCCCGGGATTTTGCCTGAGTGATCCCAGCATCTCTTACCATGGAGTGGAGTGCTGGGAAGAGGGTGCCAATGTCCTTCCTCAGGGCAGCCTCATCCATGTCCCTCACGCAAGCAAGGCCCTGTGCAAGAGAAGAGACGCAGGACATGGCGATGACGTGTCAGGCAGACAAGCCCCAATGTGTAGAGTCTCCATCAGCAGCTGGGTTACCACAACCCAGACTTGGAAGGAATAAAGTTATGGCCCTGGTGGAGAGCAGCTTCCAGCTGGTGCCAGACTCTCCCTTCTCTGGGAGGGGCATTTGACCCCTTGGTTTGCACTAGCCTAGTGTCACTTATGGTTGGTTCAACAGGATAGTTGTACCTGGCGCCAGCTGGGGTGGTGTGTGCTGAGAGGATGGCAGGGATGGCGGGGCCCGGTTTGGAAGAGCGGGGCCTGCCCTGATTACTTATCACTACTGATGTTATGGCAGTGCCCAGAGGCTCCAGTCAGGATCAGACCCTGTTGCACTGGGTGCAGCACAACGCAGCCAGAGACAATGTCTGTCCTGAAGGGCTGACAGTCTAGAGACCCAGGCAGACAGGTCAGGGATGGGGAGACAGCATCCAAGGGCTCCTCCCTGCCCCCGTGCTGGGCTGAGGAAACCACGCGGGAGCTTGGAAGGGAGAGCTTAATGTCCCTTCATGCGGCCTTACCAGGGGCCAAGGATCTGGCCCATTGTCTCTGCCTGCTCACCTCCTACAATGGTCACTTCCAGAGTGTACCAGGGATGTATACTCCTGCTTTCTGGCCTTGGGCCAGCCACTTCCCCTTCCGGAGCCTTGCTCTCCGCAGGTATAGGCTGGGCTAACAGCTAACCCTGCCCCGGGCCCAGGGAGAGGTGAGTGCGTGGGACACTCTGGGGAGAGGTGAAGCTCAGGATTATTTCTCTCCCTGGTTCCCTAATGCAGCCCATTGCTGACCAGCCAGCAAAGAAGAAAGAAAGCAGAGCCAGGTGCTGGGAATGGAGTCGCCTCTCTCCTCCTGTCTGCAACACTTGCCCTGGCAAGGGGGGGGTCAGAGCATGTTCTCTAGGGCCAGAGAATGGCAGTGAATCTGGGAGCAAGAGATGAGGAAAGGGGGTCAGAGCCTTAGAGGGTCAGTGTGTCGTGGGAAAGGCAGTAGGGGGCGGGAGTCCAGGCTGAGTTGGTGATGGAGGGAACCTTGTACCATCTGTGCCATGGGCACTTCCCCAGTGTGCTGTGGATTTCCCGCTCTCTCCTCACTCACTGTGGTCTTCCTTGGCATTTCCTCCTCCTTGCTGATTGGGGCGAGTTGTCCCCTGGGTGACGAATAGGCCTTTTGCTTGGTGCCTAAAATGAACAGAAGGAAACTAAGGTTGCTCTTAAGCAAAGTAAGCAGTCATGGGATTAGAGGGAAGGTCCTCTCATGGACTGTAG